GTCAAAGGGCAATCTTGGGGGGGAGAGAAGACCCGGCGAGGAGCTGAGGGCGACACGGGTAACATCCTGCCCTGGCAAGAGTCCCTGAGGCCTCCCACCTGGGCCCTCTCCGATTCCCCTCTCCTTCTCCAAAAGAGGCTCCCAGACCAAAAGCAAGCGGAAGTAAACTGAAGCCGGCGGAAAGCGCTCCCAATGCAGAATGACAAAGGCAACTCTCTCCTCTTCCCCGCCAGCTCCTCAGAAGAACAACCATTTCTTTAAGAAAAGGGAAAAGCCGCCGCTTTGAAGTCCCGGCTCAGCAGGAGGCTAAGTGGAGTGGAGAACTACAGAGGCAGCTGCACCTCCAGAGGTCTATGGGGGTCAAGCACAGGCGGGGGGCAAACATACCTCACACACACACACACACACACTCTGCAGCTGAGTGGCGGTTGCCATGGCTTTCTGGCTCAGGAAATGTCCGGGTGAGAAGGGGAAAGCAGGTCTCCAGACAGACAAAACCCACAGGTACATGCCGTGCCCTTGGATGCTCCGGGCAAAGGTGAAAGAACTGCCTGGGAGTTCCACGTAATGGAAATGGTCCTTGAATACCTGTTGTCCGCACTATGGGCCACGCTCCTCCCACCCGCTCAATCCACGTGCCACCCGGAGGGTGATTTTGCCAAGTTCCTGTCTGTCGAGCCAGACCCTGGACCCGGCTGGCTCAGTATTGCCTGCTCTGACCAGCAGGAGCTCCCTTTGCACTCCGAGAGCCTAGGGCTTTGTGGACACCCAGTGGGCATCTGCCCTCCGGCACCCACAGCCCTTCCCTCTAAGTGACGACAAGGGAGCTGCACCCCAGGGGCACAGCCCCACATGTCTCCTATGGATCGCCTCAGGCTGTCTGCCGGATTGAAATGGGCCCCCTGCCCTAGGGAAACGCTTCTGGTGCCACATGGGAATTACAGCCAGTCTCTGCAACTGGGGGACAGGAGACAGAGAGGTGTTAGTAACCCGGTGCTGAGTGGCACACTTCAGTTTGATACACCTTGCCTGCTTGAACAGCCCAGCCAGAATCCCTCACAGAGATTTGGTGAAGCAAGAGCTGGGCGCTCACAGGGAACTAGTCCTACGTGGGATAGGCCAGCTTGCCCCTGTATCCAAAAATTCTGGGTTGACATAGCAATGGCTATCAGACAGATAACTGGTCTGGTGATACCTTTTAATCCTGAATTAATATTACCTGAAGTGTGGCCGGAGTCTCTTTCCCCAAAACGAATGACCGAAACAATCTCTTTATTATTGGCTGCAGCTAGAATTACTGTAGCCGCTAGATGGACATCAGTCTCAGGCCCATCATTAGACCTGTGGCATGATAAGCTTTGGATGCAATTTATTACGGGGAAAATAGCGGATGGCATAGCTAATCACACTAACGAGGATTATCAAGCACCATTTATATGTAAGTGGTTTCCAATAATTCAGTTTCTCTCAGAAAAGGAAGTGGTTCACTCTTTTGCTAATGATAACTACTGGCTTTGTTTCTGAAAATAGAATTATTTAAAGTAACATATAGGTTAAAGCTACTAACCCATCAATGAACTGTTGTCAGCAGCAAGATAGATGTTATGTTAATGAGCATAATGACACTTCCTTAAGTATTTAGATAATGTTAACTAAAGTTTGTTGTTAGTCCTTTTGCTCTTCTCATCATAATGTTGTTATATCCTTGTATTGCTACATGTGGAAAACCTTGAATAAACCTTTGTTGATATTTTTTAAAAAAGAGGAAGAAGTTATGGGGTTTCTCCTCCTTCCTTCGGAATCAAAAGGCATTTGTCCCAGCAAATCTGCTCCACAGTGGACAATAGTCGTTGTACCCCACGGGCATCAGGGGTGGGGAAATGGGGGGGGGGGCCTGGAACTGAGAAAGGGGATACAACTTGCGCCACCCCTCCCTTAGGCAAAGCCCGGCTTGATTCTTCCAGCGCTTCTCCCAAAGGCAGACAAGCTTTGTCTTACTCTCCTGTGCTTCCAAACGGCTACTGCTTGCAGCTGAAGGGCCTGTTGTGATTTGGCTTGACTTTGCTTTGAACCCACCCCCAGCAGCAAGCAAGGAATGGGTTTTCATGGGGCACACGCCTGCCAGGGTGGAAAATGCCCCAGGCAGAGCGGGCGGGGGGGGGATCTTTGGGTGGCGGCTCAGTCAGGCTGCTCGACTGAAGCCGGGTCTCTCTGCTGGGGGG